GGGGATTAGCATTCAGCTCCTTGTTATTTATACAAATCTCAACTGGCTTGAATTTCTTCTCAGAAAATGGGATTTTCTTTTCTACCACATTGTCAGGCTGCAAATTTTCTGAACTTTTATGCTCTCCTTCCCTCATAAACTGAATGCCTTTAACAGCACCCAATCACTCTTGAATGCTTTGTTGCTTAGAAATTTCTTCCACCAGATACCGTAAATCATCTCTTTCAAGTTCAAAATTCCAGAAGTCTCTATGGTAGGGGCAAAATGCTGCCAGTCTCTTTGCTAAAACATAACAACAGTCACCTTTGCTTTAGTTCCCAACAAGTTCTTCATCTCCATCTGAGACCACTTCAGCCTGGATTTCATTGTCCATCTCATTATCAGCATTTTGGTCAAAGACATTCAACAGGTCTCTAAGAAGTTCCAAACTTTTCCACATTTTCCTATCTTCTTCTGAGCTTTCCAAACTGTTCCAACCTCTGCCTGTTACCCAGTTCCAAAGTCCTTTCCACATTTTTGGGTATCTTTTCTGCAGTGCCCCACTCTACTGTTACGAATTTACTATATTAGTCCACTTTCATACTGTTAAGACATACCCAAGACTGGGCAATTTACGAAAAAAAGAGGTTTAATGTACTCACAGTTCCACGTGGCTGAGGATGCCTAACAATCATGGCAGAAGGTGAAAGGCACATCTCACATGGTGGCAGATAAGAGAGCTTGTGCAGGGAAACTCCCCTTTTTAAAACCATCAGATCTTGTGAGACTCATTCACTATCATGAGAACAACACGGGAAAGACTCGCCCCAATAATGAAATCATCTCCCACTGGGTTCCTCACGTGACACATCATTTCTTCTTGCACATTGATGTTCTTAGGTTTTGATTTCCAATTTGAAATGTTTCTGTCTTATGACTAATTGCTTGTTGGAGAATGTTTAATACAATTATATGACTTTATGAAATTTTATCAGATTTCATAATTTTATGAAATTTTATCAAATTATCACATGTACCCCCCAAAATATGTATATCCATTATGTATCAATTTTAAAAGTTACTTTAATAGGATATGAAAATTATATGGTTTTATAACATTTTTTTTTTCCTGCTTCAGTATTGCTTTCCTGGGTGGTGAAGTTCATCGGCTTAATTATTGTTCTCAATTTATGTGATTTTTAAAAATTAATTTTGCAAGGTAGAACCAACCCAAATGCCCATCAGTCAACAAGTGGATACAGAAACTGTGGTATATATATATAATGGAATGCTACTCAGTCATAACAAGGAATGAATTAATGGCATTTGTAGCAACCTGGATGAGATTAGAGACTATTATTCTAACTAAAGTAACTCAGGAATGGAAAACCAAACATTGTATGTTCTCACTCATAAGTGGCAGCTGAGCTATGAAGATGCAAAAGCATAAGAATGACACAAAGGACTTTGGGGACTCAGAGGAAGGGAGTGGGAAGGGGGTGTGGGATAAAAGACTCCAATTGGGTGCAGTGTACACTGCTCAGGTGATAGGTGCACCAAAATCTCACAAATCACCACTAAAGAACTTACTCATGTAATCAAATATCACCTGTTCCCCAATAACCTATGGAAATAAAAAATTTAAAAAAATAAAAATAAAAAAATACTCAATTTTAAAGAAAGAAAAACATAGTTTTGCATAGACAGTGTGTTTGCTCCTCAGGATTTCTATGGAAAGGGCTATTTGACTTGGATGGTTTATGAAATTTTAAATTCAAGAGTACCTGTTGAGGTTCAATCAGGCTGATGGGAAAAATATTAGAGAGTTATAGAAATAGACACAAATCTTGGAAGGCCAGAGGTTTGCATAACTTCGGTAATAGATCTGGCTAAAGGTGGTATGATCCCTTTACCTTTAAACAAATTAAAATAGTAATAAAGAAAGGCAGAGTAGTTTATCTAGCTAGCTTGTTTACTCATATAATCTTAAGACTAACTTTTGATGTACCCTGGGTGCTTAAGTGCTTTTTACTCAGCAAGCCCACAATGTCAATTACCCTCTAATGGTGTTGACTCAAGCTTTTGTTAATTAATCTTACTGAATAAATACAACTCTGACTAGCTGATCAGGGCCCAGTCACAACTGTTCACAGGACTCAGCAGACAGCCTGTAAGCAGCTCGGACCTTCAGTTGGACTGGCAGAGCAGAATATCTGTGTGTCAGTGTACTTTATTCATCCGTTGCTGGGTCAGAGGTCTGCAAGGGACAGACCCCCCACAGCTCGTGCCCCCTCCAGAGAAGTGCTGCTGCAAGTAAATTCTTCAATAAGTGTGCCAAAGTATGTTGTTGTTGTTTGTTTTTATTGTATGGCTTTCCTGGCTTTAAATTTACCTTCTTAACACTGCTTCTCTGCATCCCACATGTACTTTACCAGAATGCTGTTTTCATATGTTCACACTTAAGGTTGACTTTATCTTTCCAGAGGTGATTTTTGATCAATCTTAGGCCTTCCACAAACATCCCAATTCCTTCTTTTGCAGAGTTTAATTTTTCCTCGACCCCTGTGCTCACAGCTTGTTACAGAAGCATGAGAGCCTGCTTATATTTGGTATTTATTTTTCTACTCCCAGGCAATTTGAAGTTTGTTTATTTAGTGTCTGCTATTTATGCTGAAAGCTTGGGTTTTGTGTGGTTTTATTTGTCCTCTTTTATTATATTTTTATAGGATATGCTGATTCAAACCTGCATCACTGCCATTACCTCAGCTATCCAAAATTCCCCAAATTTTTTAAATCAGATTTGAGAATTCTAGGAATCTTACTAACTCATCATGAGAACATGTTTCCTTCCTGGTCACCAGTTTTTTGTAGTCTATTATGTTTACCATGCAGCCCCCTTTTTGTTGGGTGGCAGTTGGTAGATTTTTGGTTAATTTTTACTCGTTTTATTAAATAATTGGTTATGGAAACTGTAAGTAACTTTTAATCTGCTATTAAACACTGAGTTATTGAAGACAATACAGTTGTTTTTATAGTGTCAAAATGTTCATTATTACTCTTGTCCTGTTGATATCAAAATACCTATAATAAAAATTAGAGTAAAATCCTAAATAAATGTCTTTTAGATGAAGAATCATAAATAAATTCATTCATAGTATGAATTAGCTTTTAAAATATACACATTATAGATCATGGCAGTGAATCCAAGTTACTATTAGATTTATTAAAAAAAGTACTAAAATGTTAAAATAGATTAAGGCCCTTTGAGAACATTTCAACAACCAACTTAAAGAAAGCAGAAAATTCAGTTCAACACAATATTTACACTGCCTGAGCCTGCTGGTTAAATGAATTTCTACTTTATTCCTCACATCCTATGTCATTATATGGTTACTTAATCAATAAATGTTTAATAAGTTGCCCATCATGTGTCAGCCTCCAGTCATACACTGGTGAAAATGATGGATAAGATTTTTACCCTCATGAACCTTACAGTTCAGAGGGGGTTTACAGATAAGAATCATAATAAAATGCATGGCAGTATGATACAGCATGCCTGGGATGGGCTGGGGATGAGATGGGGATGGGGGTGGCTATTTATGATATGGCAGTCAGTGAAAGCTTCTTTAGAAAGATGACATTTGAAGAGAATCTACCACGCAAAGGCCTTAAGAAAGAAGCTTTGGGGCAGTGGAAAAGGCAAGTGCAAAGACAGTCAGGTAGGAACCAGCCTGAAGAAATACCTAGGTCAGTTTGCCGTGGTACACAGACCAAGGAAAAGAATGGTATGAAATGAGGCAGATGCTAGCAAGGACAAGATCAAGTAGGAGGCTAGGAAAAGCAGTTTGGATTTTATTCTAATTGCCATTGAAAGCCATTGGAGAGTTTTAAGCAGACTTAACAATATTTTCTGATTTAAGTTTTTAAAGGTCACTGATTACTACATGGAGAATGGACTGTGAGGGGGCAAGCAGCTTGCTCCAAGTGGCAGAGACTAAGGTTGTAGTAATGGAGAAGATAATGAGTAAATGTATATAGCATGTTTTATATGGAAGCTGACAGGACTTGTTTATAAATTGACTGTAATTGTAAGGAGAAAGAATAGAATCTAGGATAATGGCTATAGTGCCAATACATATTGCAAGACAGAAGGCAGGGTAAAAATTGGAGGCTTAAGCGAATGCAGGTTCCCCTTAGGTAGGGGATTCTCTTTCTTCCCCTATCTCTCATATATACCCGAAGTCGTAAACTGAGAGGAAAGAAAGAAAGATAAAAGACTGAGAACCAGATCATACCAGTGAACTCATCCAATCCAAAGTGCTGGAGTAACAGCTGTAACCTATGCTGAAGAAGAGAAAGAAAAGAGCTTTGAACTGAATAGATGACTGGTTTTAAAACCAATAGGTTGAGTCTTAGAAACTGATGTGGGACCATATAATTCAAAGTAGCCTGAAAAGTTAGGGAATTGGACCAAATGATGTGGGAAGATGCAACCCAAAGGGAAGAGAGGCTGATATTGCACATCTGAAAGCAGTAATAGGAAAAAAAAAATACTTTTATGTTTGTTCCTGAAGATTTTAAAAATACTCAATAAACCAAGTACCATGAGTGATTCAAGAATGAGGAAGTGGTCAGTTATGTCAAAAGTTGCTGAGAAGTTTAATGGAATAAGACAGAACTGACTTTAGCAGTTCTCTGCAATATGTTAATAGCTGATTACCTTGATGAGTCCTTTTATTAAAGTGACATAAAAGCCAGATTGGTGGGGTAAAAAAAGAGTACAGGAAGTGAGTAAATGAAGGTAACAATTAAAGACAAATGTTTTGAGAAGGTTAGCCCCACACACACACACACACACACACCAGAAAGATACAAAGGCAGACCATTTTTAATCATAACAGCTGCTTAATTTCCAGCATGATTCACAGAGATGTCACTATCATTCTCTGGCAATCATCTGCAACCAAAATATGGCTGGTGCAGGAAAAGAGTAATTTTCAAATAGTTCTTTGTTTTCTTACCTTCACTCATTACATTTAATGTGTCTTGTTTTCCATCTCCTTCTTGTGACTGACCTGGATCCAGTGAAGTCTGAGAAAGGCTAACTTCTGCTGATAACTGGTCAAGACTTTGATAACTTTTCCTGTAAAGCAAGGATGAAATACTACTTGAATTTCTTTTCACAAAAAAAGAATTTCTTGAGTGGTTCTTTAATGGTTTTCAATATGTTAAATTTCTGGTTAAAATTCTCCCCATCATTTCTCCTAAATTTTGCTTCGTATTTTTTGCTTCAGTATGATCTCCTCCCTCATACTTTCCCTCTATCCTCTTTCAAAGCATATCTGTTTAATCCATTGGAAAACAGGAAAAAAAAGACAATTTGTCAGACATAATCTTCACACCAATTTTTGATTACATAGATGGTTAAGAAATGGGAACTTCTGGTTATTACCAATTTTCAAAGAACAGAAAATCTTCACATTACTCTTAATGAAGATATAAAATTGGCATAACAATAATGACCTAGTGTCTCTTAAGCACTTCAGAATTCTTCAGTGCCTTGACATTATTACAGATTATATAGCAACAAAAACAAATTATTATTACAAATTCCTGTAATTAAAAAGTTTAAAAAGTGCTGGGTAATAAAATACCTGTTTGTATTAATATACATCAAGATGATTAAATTCCTCTCATCTAGTTGCTATTTTGAGGCCCATTTTCTATTAAGCTAATAAAAAGTTAATTATATTACATGTTAAATTCAGTTATAAATGGAAAGTTAATGAAAGCTTATTATTAACCTTTCCTCATATTTGGTTCTTCAGGATAAAACCAACCCAAAAGATAAACACAGCTTTGGTTGTTACACTTTACATAACAGGACAGAATTATATTTCCATATATAAGTGGTCTAGAGAAAGAATATGTTTTTCAGCCTCAATATCTATTATTTCCTAAGGTAGCCAAACACCACCTAATTTCCTAAAAATATATTTTACAATAATTTTTATAGGAATGTACATATAATTTAAATTATCTATTTCACAGTTATCTCTAATCATATACACAAAAGTAGACTTAGTTACAGGTTTCCAAAAATATGTATATTAAATGTGATTTGAATGTTTATATGTAGTCTCCATTTTATGTTAATTCACGACTCCATTCAAAATGGGGAGGAAGGGGGGAAATAATTTACTTTAGTAACTGAATAACAAACTAGATTCACCGTTTAAAAAAAAGCAAAGCCCAACAGGTTTTACCAAAACAAGTTATTTTTAATTGCTTTTGTACATATTCTCTATCAATTTTATTAAGATTTTATAGGATTTCATAACGAGTAGATATATACAACAGGTAAATATTTTTCTAAGAAGTGAAGAATGAGGTGACAGAATAACTTTACCAGCTTACAAAACAGTGTTCTCACTTTATAATTTGATGACTTTTAAATGCTTATAGTATTAAAGTCCTTAGTTAAAACAATTTTTAACTACCAGGAAATTCTACTGTTGCAGAAAACTTACGATCACAACAGATAACATTTATATGAGCTATGCAATAAAAATGATATCTAATATTTATATAGCACTTACTATATGTTAGGCACTTGTCTACATATATATGAATTTATTTCATCCTCATAACTACCATAAGAAGCTAGAATTATTACTATCTGCACTTTATGGCAGAATAAACTGGGTCACAAAGAGATTAGATTTAAACCTGCTAGTCTGGCTCTAATTTTCTCTCTTAAATACTATGCTATCTACTACCTAGTATAGGAAGAAAAGATCTGGCTTCCTATTTTATTAGAAATCCTTCTCTGGCCGGCATGGTGGCTCGCACCTGTAATCCCACCACTGGAAGGCCGAGGTGGGAAGATCAATCACCTGAGGTCGGGAGTCCAAGCCCAGCCTGACCAACATGGAGAAACCCTATCTCTACTAAAAATACAAAATTAGCTGGGCGTGGTGGCACATGCCTGTAATCCCAGCTACTTGGGAGGCTGAGGCAGGACAATCGCTTGAACCCGATAGGTGGAGATTGCGGTGAGCCAAGATTGCGCCACTGCACTCCAGTCTGGGCAACAAGAGTGAAACTCCGTCAAGAAAGAGAAAGAAAGGAAAAAAAGAAATCCTTCTCAAGAATGGCCTTGTTTAATGAGACAGATCATGTAAACTATTTAACCATATTACAGAAAATTTCACTTGATTTGCATTAAAATCTTTTTTTTTTTTTTTTTTTTTTTTTTTTTGAGACGGAGTGTCGCTCTGTCGCCAAGGCTGCAGTGCAGTGGAGCGATGTCGGCTCACTGCAAGCTCTCCCTCCCGGGTTCACACCATTCTCCTGCCTCAGCCTCCTGAGTAGCAGGGACTACAGGCGCCCGCCACCACGCCCGGCTTTTTTTTTTTTTTGTATTTTTAGTAAAGACAGGGTTTCACTGTGTTAGCCAGGATGGTCTCAATCTCCTGACCTCGTGATCCTCCCGCCTTGGCCTCTCAAAGTGCTGGGATTACAGGTGTGCGCCACTGCGCCCGGCCGAAATCTTACTACTTTAGCTAGAGAGGAAAACAGGAACATAGGAATTTAAAAAGTAGTTATAAATACATTTACTTTCCAAATTATTTTTTTGTGCCCAATAGGTATCTTACTTTTTAAGTTGAATGACAGCTCAAGATGAGTTTCTGACACTGATTTTTCATCATAGAATACCTCTTAATATTTCTAAATTAAAAAAATTACATATAGAAATAGTTACAAACAGTATAAAATACCCTATAAGCCAAAAGACATAGAATTCATCCGAATATTGTAAGGACTGAAAAAGTCTGACAGTACACATTTACAATAATCTCCAAGACTACCACCCACTACTGGGAAGAAACTCTGTAAAAGCAGCTTCTGACAATAGTAACATGAAATGAGCTTTCTGCATGACCTACTGAGGTTCTTTTTAGAATATCACATTTCTGAATCCAAAGTGGTGTTAGAGCCTTTCTCCCCTTTAATTTGTCACAGTTAGTGAACAATTATTGAGTTTATAACTTTGCTTAAACAAATGCCAATGAATATGGAAATAGAATTTGGTAGATGATGTTCTGAAGCAATAATAAAAATTACAACCCAAAATTAAGTACCTCATTCCTAAAATATTAAGAACTGTACCTTACAATATCTTCTTTGCATGAAAATGACTACAAATCCACTGTCTGGGAGGAAACAAATTCAGTTGTTTCAGTAATGGCTAAGAATGGGTTTGATTTCCTCATTTTTACCTGATTTCCAATGTGACTGACAGCTCCATCTGACAAACACTTGTTGCCATGTGGTAACGGTAACCAATCTATGAGAGTTCTGTCTTTATAAGGCCATGACTAAGCCCAAGCTATCTTAGAATCCTAGACTCATTAACATCACACAGTAAGATTAAAAGTAACTCACCAGATACATTAATCCAATTAATAGCTATTACTCTTTCTCAGAAGATAATTTTTTAAATAAAAGTAGCTTAATCAAAGTAAGAACCCAAGACAGTAAGAGTCATGCATTCTAAGTATACAAAATTTGTAGTTTAATCCTTACCTTTCCATTGTTAAATATAATTTTATTTATTTATTTATTTGTTTGTTTGTTTGTTTGAGATGGAATCTCACTCTGTTGCCCAGGCTGGAGTGCAATGGCACGCTCTTGGCTCACTGAAACCTCTGCCTCCCAGGTTCAAGACATTCTCCTGCCTCAGCCTCCCAAGTAGCTGGGATTATAGGTGTCAGCCACCATGCCTGGCTAATTTTTGCATTTTTAGTGGAGATGCAGTTTCACCACGTAGGTCAGGCTCGTCTTGAACTCCTGACCTCAAGTGATCTGCCCGTTGCAGCCTCCCGAAGTGCTAGGACTACAAACGTCAGCCACTGCACCCAGCCATTGTTAAACATAATTTAAATTAAACTTGTAGGAATTATGTCATGGGCATTTGGGAAAACCTACTAAATTCAATATCTAACTATCTGTACATTTTTAAACCTTAAATATAAATATCTATACATAAGATTGGATATCAAGTAAAAGCAAATCAAAAGGAAATTCAGAAATAATTCCGAATTTACTTGTTAATCAATTTTCTACAATCTTTCATATCAATAATCAGAAGTAATAAATGGTTAATCTCTGCATTTGCCCAGTATTATGTTAAGGTTAATAATAATTTATCCAGTAGTCATTGGGCAACAGAGAGTGTGATACATAGAAGGAGATAAGCATTATCCACATGTAGAAAATAAAAACAAATATATGTATGTTGTATATACAGAAGCACATGAATGTACATCGAGACAGAGATATACTTTTTGTTCTTTGTTTTCACAGAAAGATGTCTAAGGAACAAAATAATCATTTGCTATAGGAGAATATCTATATTCTCTTATTAAAATAAACAGAAGGATGCAAGGAAAGCCTAACAGGGAAGGGCATATATGAGTGATGTCAATGCCCAGTTTACAAGTTGTAAAAGATTTCTGCAGTTAGGGTCTCCTACTCCAAAAATATTTGAAAGACATAAATGGGAAAGAGAACTGTGAATACATATGAAGTGAAAGTCATTAGAAAAAATTAAAAGCCGGTCAGGTGCAGTGGCTCACGCCTGTACTCCCAGCACTTTGGGAGGCCAAGGCAGGTAGATCATGAGGTCAAGAGATCAAGACCATCCTCACCAACATGGTGAAACCCCATCTCTACTAAAAAAAAAAAAAAAAAAAAAAAAAAAAAAAAAAGCTGGGTGTGGTGGCGGGCACCTGCAGTCCCAGCTACTCAGGAGGCTGAGGCAGGAGAATCACTTCAACCTGGGAGGCAAAGGTTGCAGTGAGCCGAGATCGTGCCACTGCACTCTAGTCTGGTAACACAGTGAGACTCTGTCAAAAAAAAAAAAAAAGTAAAATTAAAATTAAAATTAAAAAAAAAATTAAAAACCTAAATAGTAGATCATGAAAGCATATAAGAGCTCATGATTCTCAATAATTTTGCAATGTGAATTATGGCCAAATTGGGAAATGATGATAATTTGAAAAGACTAAAAAAGCTTAAGTAGAAAATATAAATATGATGACAATGAATCTGATCTTTTGGGATAAGAATGGGTGAGTT